TATTTGACACAGAAAGAGAGAGAGAGCCAGAGGGGAGAGAAACACAGAAAGAGAGAGAGCACAAACAGGGGAAGCAGCAGGCAGAAGGAGAGGGAAAGCAGGCTCTCCACTGAACAGAGCCCAAGACCCTGGGATCACAACCTGAGCCAAAGGCAGATGCTTAACTGACTGAGGCACCCAGGCACTCCAGGACTTCGGAAACTATTAATAAGTATCTCAAACTACAACTTATAGTGTCACAATCATCTCAGCTTTATGGAAGAACCATCATTTCCAAAAAATGAGTTTAGGGGAAACAAGATGACTCTCCTTACAGCCTTCCATCATTTGTGACACCCAAACTTAAGGTCTAACATCTCTCCCAGAGTGAACCACTTCCATTGGAATCCTTCCCAGTCTAAAACAATCCATTTGCATCACCTTGATGAGCATAGGGTTTTAAAAATAAAGATTCTGTTTGATATCCAATGAAGGTAAGAAGCTAAGTTGCTAGAGGAAGGAAAATCTTTGACTATAGAACTCAAGTAGTTAGCTTTAGGCAGGTACTAGAATAGAAATATAATAAATCTTTGGGCACCTGGGTGGCTCAGTCAGTTAAGCATCTGCCTGCAGCCCAGGCCATGATCCCAGAGTTCCAGGATCTGGCCACACATCAGGCTCCCTGCTCAGTGGACAGTCTGCTATCTCCTATCTCCCAGTTTGGAAGAGAAAATCCACCAATTCCTTATGGTCAGAATTTCAGAGTATTAAATCACTTTGGTATCAAAACCAATTCATGGAGATTTTTATTCATTCCACAAGTATTCCTGGGCTTACATACTTCAGTGGAAGATCCAGCTTTACGAGGTCTTAATCTAAAACAATTTGGGGAAAAGGAGCCCCTTTAAAAAAAAATTACATAAAATTATACATACAAAGTCCTCTATACAAATATTCAGAGGGTCACCTGGGTGGCTCAGTCAGTTCAGGATCTGCCTTCCACACAGGTCATGATCCCAGAATCCTGGGATTGAGCCCGATACTCAGCAGGGAGTCTGTTTCTCCCTCTCCCTCTGCTGCTGCCCCTGCTTGCTCTCTCTGTCAAATAAATAAATAAATTCTTTAAAAAAAATTTTAAATAAAAAATAAAATAAAAATATTCAGAATGAAAATATAAATCACAAAAAATTACAAATTGTATTAAGTTGCAATACCAAAAATATAAAATCAGGAGATGGCATATTTCTATTAATTAACTTCCTTTACTAAATTAACTTTCAGCTTCATAATTTGTCATTAGTAAGGACATGAAAAATTTTAAGATTGTTGTCATATTTGGGAAAACCTCTATCAAGAAGAGAGCTATTTTGACTAGGTGTTGATGAGAATCCATCTCTCTACTTATATTTTACTCATGTGACACTTGGAAGAATTTTCTACAAATTAGCTTCTGGCTCTGAACTATTGTGTTTGTCTTCCTCTTCTCATATATTTTAGGTGCTGAAGCTGTACTATGAGTAAATTGGTAGTAAATAACTATCTATGCTGCATTTTTATGTTTCAATCCTGATTGAGTCAACACAACAGGCTATAGTAATATTCCTAGAAAACATCTCTACATCAGCATGGATGGCAATGGTTTAACTATGGGGGGAGTAAATGCAAATCACATAAATAAAATCACATAAATAAATCTCATTAAACCAAGTGTATTGCCAAATCAATTTCCTCTAAGCCAGATTCCAAAACTACCCACAGCTACTGGAATGCCAAGCCAAAACAAGGGGAAATACAACAAAGGTAAAGATACAATGGAAAGACTGATTATAGATTTACTTTTTAAAAAATACCACAGAATTTTACAAAAATATGTGAACACTGTGAGGGCCTCTCCCAAGACTTTGGAATGAGCCCAGGTAAGTGAGAGATCCTAAAATTATGCTTCCTTTAATTCATGCTAAACCTACTTCTGCATCCTCTCACTAGAAAAACCGGGAATTTGCTTTATGGGTGATACGTGAAAAGTAAATATTCTGGCATCAAGAGTCTGGGTACAACTTTCAGGCTCCTACTTAATTCCTATTTGTCAGGGGCCATGCACTTGACTGTAACTTCCTCATCTCTAAGATGAGGCTGTGACAATAGTGTCTCAAAAAGTCCTATTTAAGAGAGTGCAGTTTTTAAAATATAGAGTGATTTATAAATGTTTATTTTTATTAATAATATCAGTACTACTATTCATACTGTTATTAATATGAATAATCAACTTAAGGTTATAAAAATTACTATTACCCTTCAACATTCTTAGCATCTAGTCTCTACAATGTTTGTTCTTCTGTGGCTAACCTAGATGAAATAAAAGTAGAGCAAGATTATAGCCTTGCTACGCATGGATGGATAGTGCACAATTATCCTTTCCCAGTGAGGAAAAGGTTTCCCTGGTAACTTGCCTCACTAAGCCCAATCCCTAGAAGAACCTGAAATAGCCAAGCAATTTATTGTGTGCAATAAATTTAGTGTGCAAGTTATTTTTTTTAACAATCTTTGTAAACTCTGAGCAACTTTTTAAACAGGACTTCTTAAAAAGGTTATGTCTTTTTTCCTATTCCAAACATTATTGAAATATATTGGAACAGAACATTATGTTTATTTTTCTTTGTATTTTTAACAAAGATATGTGGGGATTTGTTCATATCAAGTGATCAAGCTTATGTACCTAAAATGGCTCATGGCTAATCTCTCAGGTAAATCTACTTGAGAATCCAGCAAAATTCCCAAGTTTTTTAGGGAAATATTAAGAACAGTATTCACTACTTTTTACTAAATTTTATTCATATTTATCTGAAAGACTGAATTTAAATTTAGATTTTCTCTTGAATACTTTGCTTGGAAATCAAGTTTCCAGTAAAGAAATTTTAAAGATTAGAAAAATAATCTATCATTTTAAAATGAGTACAAAACTCTTAACAAGATCACCTAAATGCAAAGGGGATCATTTTAAGATGACTGGGAAAAGAATGAAGAAAAATAAAGACATTTCTTAGACCATGCCTGTTAATAATTCTGAGTAGATCTGAAATCATTCCATAGTATTTATATTATAGCAGAACTCTGTAGAAACACAGTAAAGTTTTAAATACATCCCCACAATTTTTATAAAGTAATTATTTAACTAATAGGTAGAAAGCAAAACCAAAGCATGAAAGTATAGAAATGCACACAATAAACACAATGGTATCAAAGGGATCAATTCAAGAAATTTATATGTTTGGAAGTATTAAGATGTTGATAGCAATTTTTCTGGGTACCTATTTCCAAGATGATGTCTTCTCTGACTATTGTGTGCCAAAGAGTTTAGGATCAGCTTTTCTAGGTGTCCTGTTTGGATTTTCATTCATTCAACAAATATTTAATGAATACCTACAATCTTGTAGATACTATGTGAGACACTGTAGGTATAAAATGAGAACAGGAAAAAATGAAAACGCTAATTTGAAAAAATCAATGCATCTCTATGTTTACTGCAGCATTACTTACAATAGCCGAGATATGGAAGCCACCTAAGAGTCTATCAATAGATGAATAAAGATGTGACATATATACATAATGGAATATTACTCAGCCATTAAAAAAGGGTGAAATCTTTCCATTCATGACAACACAGATGGGCTAGAGAGTATTATGTCAAGTAAAATAACTCAGAGAAAAACAAATATCATACAGTTTCACTTATTTTTGGAATCTAAAAGACAAACATTAACAAAAGAGAAACATTCTCATAAATATAGAGAACTAGTAATTTCCAGAGGGGAGGGAGTCAGGGAATGGGCAAAATAGGTGAAGGGGATAAAGAGGTACAAACATCAAGTTATAAATTGACTGAATCACAGGGATGAAAGGCATTTCATAGGAAATATGGTCAATAATACTGCAATAACTTTGTGTACCTAACACACGGTAACTACACTTCTTATGGTGACCCTTTCAAAGTATATATAATTATATATATACATTATATATGCACATATATAATGTATATAAATCAAATCACTCTGTTGTATACCTAAAACTAATATGTTACATGTTAACTAAGCTGCAATTAAAAGTTTAAAAACACAAAAATAAATACATAAAATGAGAATAGGAAAATAATGGTCCCAGATTTCTGGTATTTAAATTTAGAGGAGTATAACAGGAGGTTTGTTTGAGATTTTGTTCTGTGTTCTAAGAATTACAGCAAAGGCTCAAAATTATACACAAAACATACAAAGTTCTTACATTATAAGCTCAGAAATTCATCAGCACTTGGGCTCACACATATCTTCAAGGCCGAATGGGAGGCAAGAATCCAAAATCTTCTCTATCACACTCAATGATCATCTTTTCTAACAGTGAAAACACATAAAAGATGGGAAGGAGAGAGTGAATTGCATGCAGTATCCAAGGAGAAGATAACTTTCTTTTCCTTTCCCAATACATCTACATGAATGCTTCTCCTTCTGAAATCCACTGGGAACGGGCAGCTTCATAAAAATCCCTTTTACAATAGTAGGATTTCTACCAAAAAGGAGAAAAACATTTTGTTCCCAATTGGGAACCAACAGACTCTACCACTGGGTAACCATGAGCTGGGAAGAGAGAAAGAAGACAAGGCTAAAAGATGAAACAATGAAACTGCACTCATAGTGTTAAGGCCGAACCAAGTAGACACCTCAAAAGGAGTTGAGTTTCAGCCTCTGTTTGCAGGAACTTCTCCCAAGAGGCACCCCAGCAGTAAGATGCTATCAAGCCAGAAGCTAAGGGTACAGGAAATGGAAATAATAAACCAGAGCTTATCTCCCATGTCAAAGAATCATCAGGGAATCCGAACAAGTTCCTCTACAACCCATGACAGAAATGACCAATGGCGGCCAGGGAAACCTCTTACCAATTACAAGTAATTGCTTCCACACTCAATTCAATAAGTAAAGGCTTGGGTTTTTTCCCCACTCCCTCCTCTCCACCAGAACCTAAGAGAGGAGCTAGTACCTAGAAGAGGAAGTTGGATGTGGAAACTTTGTTCTAAGTTACTGAAGACCAACCAGATAGTCCTAGCTGTGCTTTTAAGAAAAGAGAGAGCTTTGAATAGAGTTTGAGAGGGAAGTCTTAAAATATGCAAGACTGAGATGTTAAAGGCTGAAATAGAACAGTTCTAATAACTGAAAGTGCCTGGAATATTAAAGAGTCTATTCACAATTCTATTAGGCAAAGTGAATGCCATTGCTCTCCCCAGAGTTTGGTCCAAGTCATGAGGAAAGCTAACAGCAAGACAAATGGAGTTAAGCAGATGGATCACTGAAAGCTAGATGTGGGGTTTAGGCAGTCCTGAATCCCAGAAAAGATATCTGCACTAATGGTACAGATTTGGAAGCTCTCAGCACCTAAAACAGAACCAATAAATAATATTATTAACAAAAATATAATATTATAACAATAATAATACTAATGATAACAAGTAACATTTATTAACTTACTTGCCAGGCACAAAACTAAGAGTTTTACATGGATTATTATATGGATTATAATTTAATCCTTAGGACATCCTAATATACCTCATATATCAAAATGGCTACCACTTTGTTCCCATTTTACATAGAAGAAAAATGAAATTTAGAGAATTTAAAGGACTTGCCCCAGTCTCCTACCTGGTAAATAACAGAACAAGTATCTAAACAAAAGTAGTTCTGACTCCTCCAATGATCACTTTGTTTGACTGAATTCAGTAAATGGCCTTATGAACGTTTTCAACAGTATAAAGTAGATGTTATCATTTAGATACACATAAAACAAGGAAGAAGAAAAGATGGACAAAAATTTTAAAAAGGTTGGAGCACCTGGGTGGCTCAGTTGGTTGAGCGTCCGACTCCTGATTTTGCCTCGGGTCATGATCTCGGGGTGCTGGGATCTAGCCCCATGTTGGGCTCTGTGCTCAGAACAGTGTCTGCTTGGGATTCCGTCTCTCTCCCTCGTCCTCTGCCCTCCCCCCATTCACACTCTCTAGCTCTCTAAAATAAATAAATAAAATCTTACAAAATAATAAGAAAGTTTAGTTAAGATATTTTGTAAGGTGAAGACAGTGAGGTCATTACAGAAATATAAAAGGTTGGTCTGTTTGTTTTCCAAAGCACTGTTGAGAGCCAACTTAGAACGAAGAACGTAAATTTATAACAGTACCTACTTTGCTGGTGGTTGATACGTCCTTACAAGGAAAATGCTTGTTTTCTTTATGACATGACATCTCATCTAACAGTTCCATTCTCTATTCCTTGATAACAGCAGCATAGAATAAAGTATATGATTAATAATTTTCATATACATACACATATATATGCACATACACACATACTCACACACACCCCTATATGGAAAAGGTACAACTAATGGATGGGTATATATACGTTTTTAAAAACAGAGGTATATTTCATGGATCACATTCCTTTAATGCGATTCATTTCATGAGTTACACAACATTCTATATTTCTGGCAAGATGCAGAAAACTAAACTAGAATTGCTGAGGTCCATTTGTAGCTAAACATTCAAAGCTATTGCATTCACTATCTTTCTTACTTTACATAGCCATACTTCATTTAACTGACAGAGCTCAGGAAGGAGATGTGCAACATAAATCAATTTTCCAGGTAGCTGACACTTACCTACTGTAGTATCAAACTGATTCTACTTCAATGAATTCAATGGAAACATTCTAAAATATATTACATATTTCCAGTCCTTTATTCAGAGTTACATGATATAAAATGCATCCTTTTCTTGATGGCCTAGATTCAGAGTCTTTGTTTTCCCATTAGCAAAATGAAGGTAAATAAGAGTTAATAATGAGCAGGTACTAAGTGCTGGCCACTATGATATGATCTTGACTCCAGAATGAGCAGTATGGTGTAAAAGTTAAAAAGACTCTGGAGCTGAACCATTTCCTAGCTCTGTTACCTTAGGTAAAGTACTTAACCTCTCCATGCCTTCGTTTCATCATCAGTAAAAATGAGATCATAAAGATACCTTCTTCATGGAGTTATTGTGAAAGTTAATATCTTCAAAACACTTAGAGGAGTGCCTGGATCTTTGAGTAAGTGATAGTGATGAGGAGGCTCTCATGTAATCCCCCTAGCAATCTTGAGTACTTGAGATGAGGAAACTAAAGCTTAGAGACCTTAAATAACTTGTCGAGGCCACACCACTAGTAAGGAAGAGCTGAATCCAGATGCAAGAATACAACCAATAAACACTGCCACTATATACATATCCAACATGTGTTGCTCACACTGGTGGTCATGATCTTAGAGTTATGCAGGGCACAACCTGCACAGCTCAGTAAAGCAGCCCTGCTGACACCTAAGGCTGCCTCCCTATTTCATACCTTTTGAAGGCCAAGTGAAAGAATGGGGACACCAACAGAGTTTCTCACACACAGCCTTTCAATAAATGATAACAGCTTATCACCTTGCCACAGTTTCTTTTAGTTTTTTGGCTACATCCAATCTAGTACATAGGGGGAGAGACAGAAGACCTGCTAAGCCAGCCCAGGCTTCTGACCCACAGAAACTTCCAGATAATGTTGTTTAAAGCCATTAAGTTCTGAGGTAATTTGTTACATAGCAATAAAAAAGAGATACACTAGGACTTGTACTACTTAGTCTCAAAACCCTGTCGTATGGTTAATCAAGACCACACTAATAAAAAGAGATAACAACTCCTGACAAAATTCTTACCACATGGTATTGCCATCTTGTGATTGCTTTAGAGTAGACTGTGAGTGCCTCAAGAGCTAAAATTTTGCCTTCATTTTCTTTTTCTTTCTCTCTTTACCGGGTTTGCCTTCATTTTCTAAAAACAGGAGACTTGTTATCTAGTAATTAATATACTGGAAGGAGGCCAAAAGATAAAGTGCAAACTCAGGAGAAACAAAATGTTGAAGGGTATATGAATGAAGCAAGGAGGCTGTGATTGAAAAAAAAAAAAAAGGAAAAGATTTCTGAGTTTGAAACCCTACAAACAAAACAATCAGAATGATGGTAATATGTGAAATGTGAGCACTCATGCCATTTTAACCAGCCTGTGAGCAATAGTTTAACAGACACAATACACAGATGAGGAAGAATCAGCAGTGGGCAAAGTACCTTCCTTGCTTTTGAGAAAGCAATGTACAGCTAATGCTAACAACCCAACTCCACTTTAATACATCTTGGCCTCAGGAATGAGAGTCCAGAACCAGAACATCACACCCAGTTCCATTTCCAGACATAGCATGGCAGAATAATAGGGAGCAAAAATCTTGACATATCACTGAGAAGAAGCTGTCAATTTAAAAAAAAAAAAGAGTCTATATGAACTAAACTTTGAAAGATTACTATTACACTGCATTTTAATTAGGTTTTGAAAGGTTAATATTACATTGCGTATTGACATTGCATTTTAATTACATTAAAAAACCATTGTTTAGTGTACTTTATCTCTTTAGGTTGACCTAATCTTTGATGGCAATTCATTTTCCCTAACTTTGGGGGAATATATCAGAAATATTATAACTATTTTTAATAACTTTACGTTTTTTAAAGATCTATTTATTTGAGGGGGGACTGAGAGTAGGAGGAGGGGCAGAGAGAGAGGGAGAGAAGAGACAGAGAATCTCAAGCAGACTCCCTGTTGAGCCAGACCTGGGGCTCTATCCCACCATCCTCAGATCATGAAATTGTGACCTGAGCCAAAACCTAGAGTCAGACATTCAACCAACTAAACCACCCATGCACCCCTTAACTTATTTTGCTTTTAAAAGCTTAACTGTTTTGTTAGTTTTATTTTCCTAGTATGTTTTGCATTTTCAAACTTAATAGCAAAAATATTAAAATATCTTTTTTATTCTGTGTTTCTTATATAGTAAGGGACAAAGTAGGAAAGAGATTATATATAGCCTATAGATATAACACAGATCAGAACACAGGGGATTTGGGTTCAAGTCTCAGATATTCAGCTAACAAAATGTGTCCTTTGATAATATTTGACCTCTTAATGGCTTGGTTTCCTTATTAACCCAACTGGTATGATAATTGCTATAGAATTTTTATCTGGATAAAGTGAGATGATAAATGTGAAAACCCTTCGATAAGGTTAAATGAGTTTTTCAAGGCAAATCATAACATAGATGCCAATCTGCATCTATGACCTTCTTAGAGAAAGAACTAACATGGATGGAACTACCCAGAATACATACTGTGTATTATGCTAGGTGAAATAAGTCAATCAGAGAAAGACTATTATCATATAATCTCACTCATATGTGGAATTTAAGAAACAAGGCAGAGGATCACAGGGGAAGAGAGGATAAAATGAAACAAGACGAAACCAGAGAGGGCGACAAACCATAAGAGACTCTTAATCTTAGGAAACAAACTAAGGGTTGCTGGAGGGAAGGTGGGTGGAGGGATGGGGTAACTGAGTGATGGACACTGGGGAGGGTATGTGTTGTAAGGAGCTCTAGGTATTATATAAGATTGATGAATCACAGACCTGTAACCCTGAAACAAATAATGCATTATGTGTTAATTAATTGAATTTAAATACAAAAATACATACTGATTAGACATTGTAGAAGAAAACATTAGTGGCCTTTAAGAAGTAGCAATAGAAACTATCCAAAAGGAAATACAGAAATAAAAGAGAATTTAAGAAAAGAAGAAGAAACAGAACATCAGTGAAATGTAGCTCATGTTCAAACTTGAAAAGGAGGGACAGATACATTTATCAACATTTTTATATTTTTCAAAAATATAATGGTTAAAATTTTCCAAATTTGATAAACACAGTTCCATGAAGTTTCAATGAACCCCAAGGCATGAGAAACCTGAAGAAAACTACATCTATGTGCATGATGATCAAATGGCTCAATATCAGGGTTAAACAGAATATGTTACATTATATAGAGAGGATAAGGATGATCAAGTGAGAAGACAGTGGAGCATTTTTTTTAAAGTATATTTTTAAGTATGAAAAGAAAATACTGGGGTGCCTGGGTGGCTCAGTGGGTTAAAGCCTCTGCCTTCGGCTCAGGTCATGATCCCAGGGTACTGGGATCAAGCCCCACATCAGGCTCTATGCTCAGTGGGGAGCCTGCTTCCTCCTCTCTCTCTGCCTGCCTCTCTGCCTGCTTGTGATCCCTGTCTGTGAAATAAATGAATAAAATCTTAAAAAAAAAAAAAAGAAAGAAAAGAAAAACACTGTCAACCTAGAATTCAATATTCAGTAAAAAAAAAAAAAAGAAATCTATAAAATGAAGCTAAGAGGAAGACTTTTTAGATACACAAAACGTGAAAGAATTTATCACCAGCAGATCCACACTACAAGAAATGTTAAAGGAAAAATTCAGGCAGAAAAAAAAAATGATAATAATGAAAATAATGAATTTATACAAAGGAATAAAGAGTACAGGAAATGGAAATTGTGGCTACATTATTTATTATATGTAAATAATTCCTCAATAAAGCTTCAAAAAAAAAAAAAAAAAAGGACTCACTTTCTCTAAGAAAATTTCCTTAACTCCCAACTTCACCAGTTTCCTTGCCATTAGAATTCTTCTGTCCTTATTGTGTGGTTTATATTAACATGTGCTTATTTGTAATTACAATTTTTACTCAAGTTAAAGGTACAAAAGTAGAAAAGGTTTTAAGATAAATATCAAACTGAACTTTCACCTTTCCGTTAGCACCAAACCAAATGTGTGCCCCCATGTAATTCGTTAACCTTTCCAATAACCTGATTGAATGTTATATATCTAGAATATTCCACAATATCATCATCTCTCACCACCAGTAACAACTGAGCAACACTTTCAGAATCATTTTTTCTTAGATGCACAACAGCATTATTTCCAGTAAGTTAGTTTATAGAGGTATCAAAACCTCCCAGTTCCAGGAAAATCCCTGCCAGAGACAAGGCCCCATGAAAAGAAGAAATGGAAAGGAATACCTCTACTCTGGTGCAAAGAAGCCCAGATCCTTCTATCCAACATTACCTAACATCTGATTGGAGCTGGGCGGTGGTGTGACCTTTCAACACACAAGTCCATCATGCCTAGGACTCTAGACCAACTGGGAGTACATTATGCTGGACATTTTGACTATCATCCCCCAGACATCCCTCACAGCAAAGTGAGGTAAACTTTACAGGTTAGAGAGCCCAACATCAGCAGGTCTTGTTCCTCCACTGCTATGGCAGGAGCAACTCTCATTTTCTCCCAAACTCTTCCCTCTTGTATCTACAACCTCTTCATCAAGCATACGTAAAACAGTACAAACATTTCAAAGCTTAAGCAAAACTTAGTTGATGGAGATAGATCTCAACTTTTTCCTAGAGTCTCTACTCCCACCATCTCCTTGCCCCAAATTCACTTCTCCCTGTCTTTTTGCGACTCATGTGGTCGGAGGAAAGGTGAAGAAGAAAAAAATTGATATATAGCCCACAATCTTCACAAGGATACTGATCTAAGGATCCTACCTGAAAAAGAACATTACAGAAATGCTAAACCACTCCATGGTTAGCATTGCAGTCCCTCAATTGTAATTGTGATGCCCTATTCCTGAGTTACTTCTCTAGCATGGAGGTATCTACCAGTGCTTTCCAAGTCATCCAACCTTCCAGTGAGGCACATCCTTCATTATTATTCCAGCTTCTAGAGAGTATATAGTCAAGACAGCCAAACCGAACTCTCAAAATGCAGGAAGCTATTCCTAGAGAAAACGGCATATTCTAGCTAAGATTAAGTATCTCTTATGTGCACCTACATGACACTGATGTACATGCCTTTATTAAAGCATTTATCATTGTGCTGTTTTGAAATCATCAATTTTATTATTGAACAATCACATTATCAAAACATTGTTTTGAAATTTTCCCAGTTGAAGTGTAAACTCTTTGAGAACAGTTACTAGATCTTAGCATGCTTTCTTCTGAGCTATACATCTGTTTGTGTCTTTTGAACTGAACTAAGTGAGAGCAATGTTCTGGGAAATTGTAAATCCTTTGGTTATCCTTGCTATATTTCACATGATCAAAATACTAAATTCTCCTAAAAGCTTTGTAACGGAAATATTAAGCACTTCTCAAACATGAATGTTCTAGGATCTTGAATTTATAAATATAAAAATCATTTCTCATTCTTTGGTATTGCTATCATTAAAATATTCAAAAATATGTGCATGTCTTTTTTTAAGATTTATTTATTTATTTGAGAGAGAGAGAGAGAGAGAACATGTGCACAAGCAGGGAAAGGGGCAGAGGGAGAGAATGTCCAAGCAGACTCCTGATGAGGGGGAACCCAATGAGAGGTTCAATCCCACAAGCCATGAGATCAGGACCTAAGCCAAAACCAAGATTCAGAGGCTTAACTGACTGAACTATCCAAGTGTCCCCCAAAATACGTGCATGTCTTAATGTCAATGTATATTAGATTCTAACTCTTTGACTTAACATTGCTTTATTGAAGTGCCACATTAAGATTCTCTCATGAAAACAAAACTTAATACTTCTCATTTATAAAACAAATATAATGATAGTACAAAATAGAATTATAAAATGTTGTAGGTGCTTGGATAAGCAGTGATTAGGAAGCACAAATGCATCATATTTTCGGGTCGCTGGATTCAGAGTCCAGAGTGCTCACCATTACACCATGGAACCGCCTTATATTTTCTATATTAATTATGATTTAAAAAGATAATCAAGTCTTAAACTCAACAACTGAGTAGTTGGATAAGAGATTAAAAACTACTTTAAGTGAAAAGCTAGCCATCTCATTTTTTTGTTTAAACCATTAATCATAGATTTTTCTTACTTATTGCTTTATATTAGTAACAGAAGTTTTCATAGTAATAAAAGCAACATAAATGCAGCTCTGTGTAATAATTCCTGATGGTCCCTTGATTTCAGAGTAATCAAATCTCCTTAGATTACGATGTTCTATAAAATTGGTCATGTTCTTAGGGATAAAATGCTATCCCATCCAAGTGTGTTTCTCTCTCCAGCATTGCCCCAAACCACCCACCCAACCACAAAGGCACACTGAAAACCTCTAGAGGTACAACTTTTATTCCACATAAGAGTATAACCTAGATCTCTCTAAAGAGAGAGACAGGGATGCCTAGGTGCCTCAGTTGGTTAAGTATCCAACTCTTGATCTCAGCTCAGGTATCAATCTCAGGGTTGTGAGTTTGAGCCCTACACTGGGCTCCATGCTAGGCGTGGAGCCTACTTTTAAAAGACGAAAGGGAGAGATTGCCTTTTAGGGAGAGCTCAGTATTGCAGTATTTATGCCATTTTTTGTTTATCCATGCCACAGAATTTTCTGAATAGCCACAATGTCAACCAACCCCTCAACGAATTTGCAGTCCAATAAGCATTTTCCAACACTCAGGCTTATCACATCCTTGAGAACACAGCACATTCAAACACAATCTAAGAAAAATCAGTCATTTTTCTCTAAGCACTAAACTTAGTACAAGCCCATCTACACACACATTTTGAGAGTATCTACCAGAGTATCTAGGTCCCCCTAACCTGTAACTCTCATAGAGGCCCAGAGCTTATCTACAAATAGCCTACAAATAAATTATCATCACGTCCCAAAGCCCTCTTGTCCGAGAAGACAGAAATATTCCTTTTCACCATAACCTTTCAGTCATGCTCTCTCTCTCCTCAAGGCTTTGGATTTGCAGCTTATTCTCTCCTTTTATTCATTCTTCCATGTTGTCCAGCCAAACAAGATTGTTTTTCTCTTGTTATGCTATGGGAAAATATTGAGAAACTCACTTAAAAAAATAAACTCAGAAATGAAACTTCCAGTGAAAAGAGGAGAAAAGAAAGCAAAAGGTATCAAAGAACAAGCCAGTAAAGATATTAAATTGATATATCTGATACTTGAAAGCTACTGTGATATAGAATTAAAACTGAGAATAAAATGAGTGATGAATCTAACAAAAACGGGATAGAAATTTCACAAGGAAATTTCAAAATTGACATTTTTACCCCTTATTCATAACAGATAAGAAAAATAGAAGGGCTCAGAAAATAAAACTTCAAGACAAGCAAATAGATACATGGACCCACTGTCAGGTAAGAAAACAGTGAAGGAAGAAAGCTGCTGATGGATGTCATCAAGAATCACAATAGTGGTGCCAGGGTGGCTCAGTCAGTTAAGCATCTGCCCTTGGGTCAGGTCATGATCTGGGGTTCCAGGGATCAAGCCCAAGGTCAGGCTCCTTGTTCAGCAGGGAGTCTGCTTCTCTCTTCCTCTGCCTCTCCCTCCTGCTTGTGTCAACTCTCTCTCAAATAAATAAAATCTTTTAAAAATTCATTATAATAAAATTGATTTATGAGGCTATATACATATGAAATTATTTATTAGTAATTGGAAATGATGTGTGGTAACATTTATGATCTATAACTGTTTTATGAATTTGTATATCTGACCAGAATTACATATTAATTAGGTTCTTTGTTTCATTTAGAGTAAGAAAAATATATATGAACTTTTCCAGGTACTCACTCTTTAGAAAATAAAATAACATTTAAGCATTACTATTGTGACAGGCTACAGTTCTCAGGGAAATCTCTCTGTATCGAGTCAGAAAGGTCCTCTATCATCTTCTCATTTGGCTAATTTGTTCCTGCCCTTATTATTGGATTAGTATTGTATAGTATTATTGTAGACATTCTTTGACTTAGATGCCCCTCTTATGTACCATCCCAACATCTTATACTATTTTTAATAACTTATACTTCTATCATAACACCAATTAAACCTTATTTTATTGGCATGTATTTCTTGAAAAATTACAAGTAACTCTGAGTAAAACTTGTTTTTATTGTCTAATATAGCCCCAGATCTAGCAAAATCCCAGAACATAGCAGGCAGTCAATAAACATTTACTGAAGCAACAAATGAATGCTTAGATAGAAGTGATGACTTACCCAAGAGTCAAGAATATGTAGTCTAAAAAACATCTATCATTTCCTGATAAGTACTCCTGGAAAGTCTTAGAATGGATTAATGTTAACATTAATGATTATGATTAAATGGATTATGATTAAATGGATTTTGGTCCCTAAGAAATGCATGCCTATTAGAAACTTAGTCCTCTAGGAAGTAAGCATCCAACCTGCAATAGCCTGATTCTCAAAGTCCAATTTTACAGTGTTCATGACACCATGTTTTCTATATTTAGAATTCCTTCTAATGACTGAAGCCCAATAAGACTATAGTCTCTGAAAGTGCAGTTAAGAGAGAATAACTAAGTGTTCATGAATTTTAAAGTAATCCCTTTACAATTGCTTGTAACTATACCATAGCTATGCTCTAAAAGGGGCAAACTCAGAAATAATTAGAGTTTTGGTCATCTTAATACATATGAAAACTTTCTTTTTTTCCCCTCTATTCCTTAATAGTTAACATGTATACTGAAGAGTGGTTTTCCTACTTGTAATTCCTTTCATTTAATATAAGATTAAAGAATGGTCTACTCTTTATGTTCAATTACACATGAATTTCATGTTAAATTTGTTTCAAGTTATAAGAATGAACCTATCAATTTTAAGAAAAAATGAAGCAAATATAGTAACAGACAAAATCAAGCTGAATACATACATAAAACAGAATTTTTTAAAAAATCAATCACCTCCTAAACCTGCAGCAAACACTTTGAGGAATTAACAATTGCAATTATGTAAAGAACATTATTTCTTCCAGGATAACAAGGAAAAACTCACTTAATATCTAGAAAAGGACTTTTACAAAATAGAAATTAAATTTCCTCTCATAAAAGAAAATAAATTATTTCCAAAGAAAATTTCACTCAAGAATTCCTAAATTGAGATATTATGATAATCTCTCACAATAACCAACCAACCAGTTACTTATTAATAGTTCATTACTATACCAGATATAGTGATAAAAACAAGATGCCTTTCAATGGACAAATGGATAAAGAAGATATGGTCCATATATACAATGGAGTATCACGCCTCCATCAGAAAGGATGAATACCCAACTTTTGTAGCAACATGGATGGGACTGGAGGAGATTATGCTGAGCGAAATAAGTCAAGCAGAGAGAGTCAATTATCATATGGTTTCACTTACTTGTGGAGCATGAGGAATAACATGGAGGACATTGGAAGATGGAAGAGGAGAAGTGAGTTGGGGGAAATTGGAGGGGGAGACAAAGCATGAGAGCCTGTGGACTCTGAGAAACAAACTGAGGGTTTTGGAGCAGGGGTGGCAGGGTGAGCCTGGTTGTGGATATTGTGGAGGGCATGTATTGCATGGAGCACTGGGTGTAGTACACAAACAATGAACTTTGGAACACCGAAAAAATATAAAAATAAATTTAAAAAAAACGAATACATAGGGCAGCTATTTGAGGACTCTGAAAAGTAAATAGCAAGAAGATCAGAAAAGAAAAAACAGAAATCAAAGTATTACTGAGCTGACAGTGAGTTTTAACTTTTATTTTACTTTGGAATGTTTTGGCCTATACTTAGTTTAGCCTGAAACTCAAAAATGGAATTTGGTTAGAGAAAGTGCCAAGAGAATCTCTCCAGTTCTGGATCAAAGACCTCAGGGCACAAAAAAAAACTAACACAGGACATCTGGGTGGCTCAGTCAGTTTTGTGTCTGACTGCAGCTCAGGTCATAATCTCAGGTCCTGGGATTGAGCCCCATATTGGGCTCCACATTCAGTAGAGTCTGCTTCTCTCTCTCTCCCTGCCACTCCCCCTGCTTGTGTTCTCTCTCTTTCTCTCTCTCAATAAATAAAACTTTAAAAAAGAAAAGACAAGACTAACAATAACAGAGAAAGCAAGAAGTCCATTTTTTTTTTCTTTTTCCCATTTGCTCATGCCCCAGCCCCAAGCATCTAACAGTCACTCAGTGACCATAACAGAGATGGCAATAGAAGAATGTGTGTCTAAAACTTTATGTGACACGAATCTTCCATCTCCGATCATATGAGCTGTACTCCAAAGAGGATAAGAAATCTCCCCCCACCTCCCCACCCACCTCTGTCCTCTTGCTGTTTTGTACCAGATGCGGAGAGAATCACAGGAAGTGTGTGAGTGGAATAAAGACCCATGGTTATGGCCAGCCAACCAAAAAGGGAAGCCGGAAGAAACAGAAAATCACAGAGAAAAATTGCAGAATGAAGAATGTGAGAAAATGATACCATAAATTGTTTATGAATCCTGTCCTCACCCACAAGCTACATATGCATATATTTGAACTTGAACAGCGTACCAACTACTCTAAAAAGTGAATCATGATGTAGACCACTACCCAGATCTCACACTGGTCACTGAAAATGATACATACACAAAAAAGACCCTTTCACTATAAAAGCTTTGGAAACAAAACTGACATTGAAACCATAACCTGCAGAAAGCTGGTTACAGTTTATGGTCTGAACCCAGATAGGCCAACTGCCAACTAAAACAAAAATATCCATATTTTTCATATGCTTTTAATAAGACCTAGAGTCTCATAACATAATATTCAAAATGTCCAGGATATAATTTAGAGATACTTGATATATGATGGATGAACCAGAAAAATCTCAATTCACAATGGGAAAGACCATCAACAGATGCCAATGATGAAGTGACACGGATTGTATAATTATCTGACAAAGCATTAAGCAGCTATTATAGGGGTGCCTGTGGGGCTCAGTTAAGCGTTTGTCTTTGGCTCAGGTCATGATCCCAGGGTCCTGGAATCGAGCCCCACTTTGGGCTCCCCATTCTGCTTCTCCCTTTCTCACTCCCCCTGCTTGCATTCCCTCTTGCTGTCTCTGTCAAATAAATAAATAAATACATACATACATAAATAAAATCTTTTTAAAAAATAAATAAACAAAGCAGGTATTATAAAAATGCTCCAGTAAGTAAGGGGAAATAATCTTGAAATAAATGGAAAGGTAGAAAGTCTTGAAATAGAATATATTAAGAATCCAGTGGAAACTCTAGAACTGAAAAATATAATAACAAACTTAGAAACTTACTGGATGGGCTCCATAGCAGAATAGAGATTGCAAAGGAAATTACTGAATTTAAAGATAGAGTAATAGGGACTGTGTCTGAAAAACTGACAGAAAATGAATGAAAAAAATAAATTAAATTACACAGAACAACAGGAATCTGTAGTACAGTAACAAAAGGTCTAATAGTGGTATCATCTAAGCCGCACAGAATCATGAAATGTTTATAAAAAATTTTTTTGAAGAAATAATGGCTGAAAACTACCCAAATTTGGAGGAAAGACATATACTTACAGGCTTAAGAAACACACTAAACCCAAATAGAATAAACCCAATGAAATCTATGCCCAGACCAATCATAATCAAACTGCTGAAAACTACAGACAAAGAAAATATCATGAAAATAGCAAGAGAAAAATAATGTATCATTTACAGGGAAAAATTATTCAAATGACTCATGTAGGCCAGAAGGAAGTGGAACATTTCATAATATTCTTAAATGTTGAAAAGAAACAATTATCAACCGAGAATTCCATATCCAGAGAAAGTATCTTTCAGGAATGAGGGTGAAATGGGGATATTCTCAGACGAAGGTAGATAAAGCAAGAGAATTTCTTGCCAGTTGATATGTGCCAAAAGAAATGTTAAAGAATTTCTTCAGACAGAATGGAAAAAATACCCAAAAGATGCCCACAGCACTGAGAATGAAAGAAGAGCTGCAGAAATAGTAAATATTTGGGACGATATAATACACTATT